CGTGCAGTTTCGCTGTCCCGGGCAGCACTTCTCGGACTATATTCAACGTTATCGTGTTAGGGACATTAAGAACTATTGCGCTAAGTTCCAGTGCAAGTCTTTTAGCTACTCAAGCAGTGGTAAAGTCCACCAAGTGGCCTACCTCGGTCAGTGTTTGAACATCGGTTCAATTAATTGGTTCAACACAAGTCAGGATGTTAAGCTGTAAGTACCAGCTGGTTTGCGTTTCGGTCGCATTTAGCAGCAGCGACTCTATGGATGTCCTCATCATATTCTACAGGAGCACGTTGTTCTTCTTTGTCCCTCATTTCGCGCATTTCTGTCCCCATTTCTCCAATGCTGACTCTTGGCTGGGGTTACTGATGTCAGACCTGGTAAGTAAAGTTTGGCTAGTCGTACATAAAGAGTGGTGCTTTCATCACATCTGAAATCTGTTACGAAATTTGGTGTCATGGTTCCATCAAATGCTGAAACTCAAAAGTTACTTCCATTACTGTTGGCACTATTTAGGATTTGTCCTGGTGCGAACTCGACAGACGCAAAGACCAATGACTAATCATTCGAACTTATTATATACCCACGATACGAGACCAAAGAAGAACACTATAGCGTAGTCGGATGGTATAGTATATTTAGATGGTTGTGCCAAGATGCCGATGCGTTACAACTAACCGGCTAAGGAGTCGGATAGGAACAGTGCAACGTAACACGACAGCGTGCCAAATGGCGAGGATGCTTGACCGGGTGCTTTCAGCTTAGCGAGTCCAGTTAAACTATCAAGGTCAGCATCAATGTTGACTGTCGTCGAACACCAGGCCATTGATTTTGGGGAAGTGTGCAACGTTACAGCTATGTGATTCAGCTGGTAGTAGCTTAGTGATGCTTTACTTGTGGTTAACTGGAATATCGGCCTATCCACAAGTGCTGTTGAAAGGTGAACCCATGTCTGGTGTCACCAAGGTTTGGATATTGTTGCTACACCTATCTAAGGATAATCATGTCTGTGCCCTTTTAGCTCATCACCCATGTCTAGTGTGGTAAGCTGTTTGAAAATTAAGCTGATCTTGTGACAACGTTATCAGCAAAGTCGTAAAACGGTCGTGAATTCACGTTAAAGTGCATCACGATCTTGAAAGTACCTGTACAACTTCAGAAGTTCGTGCTGACGATATCTAGAATGCAGATGAAGGCTCCGCGGCTAAGCCACTTAGCCCAGAGAATACAACACCATCAAAATCACCCTCCTGGGATTCAAATATTCGCTGTCATCTCACAACCTGTCAGTCGACACTTGGAAAGTCAACCCCTTACAGCCACCTGCCCAGATACTTTATACTTCCTAGGGATAATATAGAAACCAACCACAGAATATGTTTGGAGATACATCATGCTAGGTCACGGAGTCTGAGAGATTGGTCCACTCTTAAGAAAATCCCAGAGATAGTAGTTCACCAAGCCTAGACACACGGTTTCTGGATTGCGAAACATATAAGGCACTTGAGTTGTGTCGATTGGGCCGATTTTGCTAGCTGCTATTAGAGCCAAGTCTTGCCGCATTGTTGCTCGGTACATCGGCAGCGTAGAGGTCATCAAGGGCGAGTGGTGGAAAGAGGATATTATCCCTGGGTGTTGAACTGTGACTAACCAAAAGAGGAGCACGAACTCAGTATGTGTGAAGACAGCGCGAAAGGAAATAAGGGATAATTTGGTGAGGAAAATTTTATTTTCTTGTGGCACTACGCAAATGAAGAAAAAAGTTCGTCAGATGGCAATTTTGGCGCCAAGACTTCGCCTACCTTCTTCCCAGGCTGGGAGTTTTCTGAAGGCGTCTATCAGATCCTGAAGTTCAGAGTTAAAATACGCAACTGACGCAGTCATCGGTGCTCACTCCTAGTGATACCGACACTTCCTGGTCTATTGAAGTCCCGTCAGATAATCCAGAAAGCTGTGCTTTGCCAAGCATTCCACAGAATTCTCAGAGTTCAGAGCCCAATTTGAAAGTTTGGGCCAGTCGTCTATGGTCAGCTGGTCAGAGTTGGTGGCCATCTACATCAGTCAGATTCGCCTGGCAATGCTTGACGTTTGGCTATACCTGTAAATGATCGTACTTTAAAGAGCCTGGTTACGCAGTACCTTTGTGTGTCACGAGACCACTAAAGTCACTGAGCATAAAAAGGGAGCTTTGGGCGATCAACTGTAGGGAAATCGAAGGGTAGTGAATCAGCTAGGGGATTTCAGAAGAGAAGTCCGAATTGTGCCAGAACTGTTTGGAACAAAGTAGTGACAAATTTTATTACCTAGCTGGTCTGTTAAAATCAGCCAGAAGGTAAGCGCATTAGCAAACATATGCCATGGTTTTTTGCGAAGGAATAATGAGCAATTTGGTAGAGACGCCGGCTCGTTAAAATGGTCTGGGTGCCGAAGCTTCCAACGTTGACATAATGATCTTCGTTTAAGAATCGTTCCGCCACTGAATCTTATTACTTTAAGCTGACTAGAAAGGTAGGCCAGGGGCAGTTTTGTGTGATAGAAGTAACCTGATGAGTTCGAAAGCAGCAAAATGTGGTCAAAAGGCACCCTCACAGCTACGCACGCAACAGGGCTCAAAAATATTTTAGTTGTCTACTGAGAAGGACTGCTGAGGACCGGAAGACATGATGCTGTATATTCTACTGTCCTGGATTCAACCAAGTTGATAACCCAGACGACCAACATATTCGTATTGAGCGTGGGGAGGCAATTTTCCCTTGGAAATGCAAACCCCTTAACGCAGGTAACCCTTCCAACCAGTTCATTTTCCAAGTAACATTTAGTTGATGAACACTAACAAAGTTCAGAAAGTTGAGTGTCCAGCCTGACAATCCGTGTGTTCACGTAGTCAATCAGTGAAGTAAATGGCATGGTTGTGATATAATGGTGTGGTGTTGAGGTGAAGCAGCAGTTTAGTCAAATGATGTCTGTCACTGTCAAATTGTGTCACTTGTAGAACAGACTTCTGCTAAAGTGAGGATTATGAACCTCTGATATGGAAAGGTATCAACATGCATGAGTCATACAGTTCTAGAATCATCAATGAAGTGCAATAAGTAAACAGTTTGTGCATACATTCCCTCGCAAACTTGTCGTCGTCATCTCAAGCAAAAAGCAGACCGTTACAATAGAAGTATTAGCTTCAAGCTTTATTTTTCTCCAGGTAATACACGTAGTGTCAGATACAAACCCGTTTCTTTGTCACTGCGAAGACAATACTTCCACTCGTTCAAACTGTTAATTTTCTGCATACTTATTCAGCTGGGATTTTTATTACATGAACATGCAGCGCCTATATCTTCCAGTGACCATAGGTGGGATTGGGGTTACCTTCCATGAAGACACATGTAACTTATATAGAAACTTATTCATACCCTTAAGAATGGTGTTTGCCCATGTGTTCAGGAATAGGTGTTATTATTATCACTATTAATGTCATCCCCGTAATATCTCTGCCTCAACCAACCCGTATAATCGGCCCAAACCTCAGTATCTCATCCTGCTTGAAGTCCTTGAAATATTTTAAATTTGTTGGTTTTTCCTCGACCGAACGTAAACTGCAGTAGCATCCGATTTTTGCAAGTTGTGAGGCCGACAAAATGTTACGAGAAGTTTGTTGTACCTTACTAAGCGCTATAGCCCCTCATTAATTGGAACTTACTTTGGTGGCATCAAATCAGTATCATGCACTGAGACCCGATATTGGTGTTTGCGTCTGCTGCAGCAAGTAGCACTGCGTTATTTCTCCAGCCTTTACGACGTGAACACTTTTAACGTGAAGAGCGTGGACTAATCCATGCTATTCAATTGATTACATTTACTCAACTCACTATCAGGATGGCTTCCTTTGCTGATAAGCCCTTACACATTCGGTGGGCACAAAAATGTGAAGGTGTGCTGTAGACATCATGTCTTCATTATTGTCGCGATGAAGCCATCTTCAAAACACAAGACTGCATATTCTAAATATTGCCAGCGGAAAATGCGGAAAGGTTCCGTCAGAGTGCAGGTTGGAATGTGGCGGACATGTGTTTATACAAGAGTGGGATTTAACTGGACAAAGTTTGAAGGGGACTGAAGTGTAGATTTATGTACCCCAGTGTTAGGTTTGTAGGGGTGTGTGTTACTATTCCGTAACATCTGACCAACCCTACCTAAATTGATGTTCTCTAGCACCTGCTTAACCAGCACCTTACCTAACGTGTAAGTACTGATAACGAAACACATATCAAAAGAGCCGGTTTCAGGAATATATTTGAAGACGTAATGTATTTATTTAGAATAATTGCAATAGTAATGAATAGGGTAAAAGCCTATTTGACTTATCTGTCCAGTTTGGCTGAAATTGGAACTCCGGGTACGTACGTTCTAAGTAGCACAAAGGGAGCGCAAATGGCGACGTAGCCGGCTCGGATGCATGCTCGTTGAAACAAAACTTAAAGCACCCAAAGCATTCGGAGGTGAGCTAGAGGTTTACTTAGTTACTTCAATCTGATCTGTTTATTTTGGCCCCAGTTGTATTTTGGTGCCAGGAAGGTGCGCTACAAGTTATTTAGATATCCTGACAATATGGAGAGAACTTCCTTTTAAGATGAAAGATTTTGGGAACGAAAACCCACCTAAACCCAATCCACGCCTAACTGTCTGCAACGGGGCCGTCAATAAAAAACTTCTTTCTTCAGGATTCACTTTATTGAATAATAATCCACTAGCATATTTTAGAGTCTCGCCACTTTCATTATCTCAAGACCAGACACCAAGCACAAAATTTACGCGTCCGGAATACTTAAGTATCACTTCAGACTTGTAGTTAGCAGAGGTTCCATTTAGTAGATACTAAACAACGGATTGCGTAAAAGGATGTAAAGCCAAAGATGATACCAATACTTCCAGGATGCAAAGAAATAAGGCTGAAACAAGGAAACAATTCCTCAGAATATTTATATACGTTTGTCGCTTACAGACCTCTTATCAAGAGAAAACCGGAAACCTTACGTTTTGTACTCTTCAAAAAACTCACTTGTGTTTAGTCGTATCACTTTACGATAAAAATTCATTTGGGTCATATTTATTAAGATGATTTGTAGTATGCATTTTCGCAGTCTCAATATTTCTTTGCTGATATACGCTAAAAATGTCTTATGACTATGGAGAAAAAAACGGTAAGTTTTTTTCAGTTACATTTCTAGATTCAGGTCCTCATACCTGGGTTCTACGCTTTCCTAATGCCGGAGGCACAAAGCAGTCACCAATCAACCTAAACACCACGTCAATGAGACTAGATGAGTCATTATCTCCGATAAATGTTGACCTAAGTGGCTTACAAAAAACGATTTTAAACGTGAAAGATCATAACTTTTCTGTTGAAGTCAGGGGAAATGCAGGTAATTTTCAGGCTTTAAAGTCTTTGTAGATTGTGAGATATATCAGTCTTTGTCTAGTTATCAGTAGGTTAATGGAAGCAGACAATTGTTGCATAGCTTTTTTTAATTTGACAGATTGTGTTGCAACTTACCGAATAAAGTTTGTTTGTAAGCAGATTTAAGGAAAGTGTCGATTTGCAGTGGCAAGAATAAAAGATCGGTGACTTAAATGAATAAGTTGACCACCGCTTACCTTGATAGTTTTATTCCTAAATTCTGCGGCAAACAACACCCGTTAGGGGGCTGAATGTTTCAGTGCACGGAGACCTGACAATATTATTATTTGCTAAGTTAATCGTTGAGTGGCGTTTGCTTCTTGTTTGGGCAATTAGACCTACTTTATGTGATATTTAGAGTTTTTATCTGGTTTTTTGGTCGTTTACCACATCATTTTTTCGATCTAAATGAACTGTAAGACAACTAATGTTTCCATGTGTTGGGTTGTAACTTAAATAATTTCTCAGTCAGAATATATCAACTTGATTTCTTTTTTGTTACCTTCACAAAAACAAAACGATGAGTATCCCTTCGGTTACATGTAAAGGACAGCTTTTATGCAGGGACCTTCTTGTCTAGCATGCTATGGTTCATCTGTATGATAATAATACCAACTGGACAATATTTTCAGGATAAAATTCAATGAAACTAATAATTAGGATGCTAAATGATACATTATAATTTGTTATAAATCCACTGTGTATGCATACGTAAACGAGATATTTTGAACTAATGTGCATGTCACCGTAGAAAAACCAACTCAGATTATACAGCTTCAGGAACTAGAGAAGTGTGAAGTGTCTTTGCTGAGTTTTGTACCCTATGCCTTCATTCAGTGGTGTTTGCAATCGGGAAACCTTTAATCTTGAGTATTTACCATGATAAGCTAAAGTACTTTCCGTATACGGAATAATTTCTTCTCTGGGTAGTAGAAATCGTATACCCAGTGTATTTCACGAGGGCATTTGCCTTTCGTAGGAATTTCAGAGTCTGAAGAAGAAATACATAATAAGTACCCCCTTGAAAACCCATTTTGCTGTTAACTTTTAATTTGGCTGCATACAGTAAAAAGCTCACATGCAGTTGTAGCAGCAGTTGAATTCAGCGTGCAGATTGGGGAAGTGAGTCCAGAAGAAGGTAACTTTGAAATATCTACGGTATCCTACACCAAGTAACGAACAGCGGTGATCCCCTATAATTATTTTCAAGACATTCACTCGTTTATTACTAGAACCGACTTCTCTCACAAGGTAAGATAATTCCGCGCCTGAAGTTTATTGAAATCAGACCAACTGTAGACACTGACAGATCATGTCGCTGTCAGCCACCAAAGATCTTGGGCAGAAATGTCGGTAGTGAAACTTTAGTGGAGAAGGCTGGATGAGTGATTTATTCGTGAATGAGACTACTGCAACGATGGGTAGAATACTCTAGCAAACACTTAAACTGGCTACCAGATAGGCTTCAGTCGCATCCAGCCCACTTGAAGTGTTGCGCTGGGTTTTGCGTAAAAGTTGGGAGTCGATAAGGTCATAAATTCCTATAGACTGAACTGATTGCGACATTTGTTACAAATGCGTTCTTACCGTCCTTAACTTTGTATAAAGTCAACTGAAATGTTTTCAGGCCCAAGATGCTTTGAGGTGTTCAGACTTAATGATAAGATATGTGTAGAAGTTCTCTTACTTTTAGTGTGTATTACGCATAGAACTGCAGAATTTCTGGCAGAGGATCACGTGACAATGAGAATTTGCGGTTGGAGATTCTAGATGATTCCGCTCAGAGTCAATTTCGGTGGCACAGATACAGTAAAGCTTTGTGTCTACTTTAAAGTTTACACTGACTTGTATTATTTGTTTGTCCCCTCTTTTCCGTCTTCCGTGTTTACGAAATTCTGCTTTTTTGATTACCTCCCTAACTTTTATCTTAGTACCGTCTACATCGACTTGCTGATATGAGATGTTTTAACTTGAAATGTCACAAAGTAATGCCAGGTCTCTTAGCGATATTCACTGTGTCACTAAATGAATGATATTGGCTTTCGTATATCATCATATAAAATGAGTTTTCTCACTTCTTTCCCATCCTTATTTATGTTTTGTGAACGTAACTGGTTGCAGGGTTTACTTTTCTTCTCAGTTGTGTGTGACTAGTCAGTGATGTGTTTTTTTATTAGTCGTTCCGACACTGTCGATTAATTCTCGAAGTTTTATATCACATTATAAAAGCAGTGATTGTGTTCAAACTGAGTTAAACGGTTTAATCTGATAGACTATTTTTTTCAGTTGTTCCCAGAAATGCAAACACTGTCTAACTGTAATTATGCTTTCTAAGAAAATCTGCATAAAATTTAGATGTTTTGCGCATGCAGCTTCAGAACAATGTCTTCTGGAAGATAGATATAAAGAAGTGAAATTCATGAATATAAAATCCTGAAATGCAAAGTATCTTGAAAAACCTCAGAAGAATTTTCACAGCAGATTTTAAGTATTCAAAATATCTGTCAAAGCCATACTGATGTTAACAGATTATGTGGTTCAGCTATGATTAAAATCTCCTGCCTTGACGAATTGTGATCATTTTATTTGTCAGGACACTCATTAACTAGTATGATGTCACCTTTTCGGCACATTTCCTTGAGCTAGTATGTACTGTTTCTAATTATAGTAATTAGTGGCCGAACACATTTTCCAGAGGTATCATTTCATATTGAAATGAGCACCTGTACATCAGCCAAGATATTTATTTTTGTTAAGTTATACTGTTATCAATGTTGCTTAACTCCTTCCAGTTAAGTTTACACGTATTTGCTTCTTAACATCTCTGAGTCACTGAACATTTAATCGACTTACATTTGTTGATTATCTATCTTCTCATGTCACTGCTTTGCCCCTGCTTCTTTTATACTGATGCAAAAGCAACCAAAATTCATGCATTTCTTTGCAAGAATTTTACGGTGACTCACTCATGGTTCAGTTTGACGTTACTAAAAGCAGTTGACAATATTTCATGGTGCCCTTAAATTCAAACACATCCATGAAAAATGTGGTAATGATTTTAAGCATTCTGTTCATTTTGCAGCTATATTTTGTTTATTTTAAGGGTTACATAGTAACTATGATTTAATATGCAGCTAACTAATTTACAATACATGTACATAGATGTCCTAAAATATCCGCAAACTAATTTATGACGGAATAAATGAATTGATACATGTTACAAATATTATGCCCACCACAATGCTGCTCTTCATGTATTATCCTTTAGATTCTCGCCGTTGATTAAGCTGAATTGATTGACCACTATCGACAGATAGGCTCCAGCGTATGAAGCAAGGGATGCTGAGTCCGAGTTTCATTGGGAAAAATATCGGTCACCTGGATTCTTGTGCATTCAACTACTTTTTCACAAATGAGACGGAACTCGTCTCTGAGGTTTCAATGGTAACCTTCATCCATCATCCGTATCAAATTGTGCCGCTGTGCAAAAACTGATTACAAAAACCACATAACACCATTCTTTTCATCACAGAAATCATATTTTAAAAGCTTTAAAAGTTTTTTCATGTAAATTCAAAACAAGACATAAAAACGAACAATCGTGTTTTAATTAGGTCCTGTTCAGACTGTAATATAAGGGGCTAATTATAGATTTGTGTGATTTCGCTAACAATTCATTCATTATTTTTCATAACGGTTCGTTTTCGTTTACTCTAATGAATGGATTATAAATCCTGTGAGATGGTCTGCCCTTTACATATTTTTAGTGAGTGTCTATCAAAACATTGCTCTGTTTGTGGTTAACAGGTATGCTTTTCATTCATCCTATGAAGTAGTGCTTATAAATAATGAAATGTACTTAATTATCTGCAAACGTAAGTTTAAACATCACTTATCAAACTGACTCCCGTAAACTGTAACTGAAAAACAAGGTATCACCTCTTAAGAAGTTAAATGCTTAACCTTTTCTTACTAGAACTTCATTGTTAGGAAAGCCATCCATGAACAATGATTACCTTCGCTTGTTTTGTACAGACCAACTTAAAAAGTCGTTCGGTTGTTCTGTTTGCGGTACACCACATTAACACCAGCAATGTAGTCAACTATGAGATAGTAGGAAAGATTGAAGGGTAATATGAGTATGATAATATTTTGATGTTTTCCAAGCTATGAGTCTTGTTCTTGGACGTTTTATGAGCGGACTACTTTAGAGTTTTAAGATACTAAAACGGTGTTACGTAATTAGATTTTGTTGAATTCAGTAGACTTCAGAAACAAATATCTTAATTAAGCAATATATTTTGATGACTCCGTGTCAGATGTCAGCGATATGAGTGGTGCAACTAAGAGAGTTGATAACGTCAGTCTTGAAGGCTTTGAAGTAACAGTTCTGTGCTTTAAATTTCTTCATTCTACTTCAAACTAATACTGACCAGTGAGAGTGTGTTGTAACTGCTCATACCAACTGCTGTGATGCTTCATGAAGCTTTTTAACTCTCAATCATCTAGTCTCTCTGAAATGTCTAGAAGATTTGTTCCCAGAAAAAAACTATTTTAGCATTATACAGTTGTGTTACAATATGTTTACTTAGCTGCTATCTTTGTTCCACATTGATAACAGTCGTTATGTGTAAGATTATATGTCTGAAAAGTACTTTATCACTCTTCAATTTCTTTGACAGAAATTGACCACTGAATAACAATTTCTTTTTTGAATCCATTTAAATAGTAGTGCTATTATGACTTCGGATCTAACTTTTGAGTATATACTCCATTTGTGAGCCTTGATACTAATACATATGAAACTACTGTACTACCATTCCCCTCCTGTTATATTATTTTCATACGGAAGCATCTATCAGCTTGAAGGAAGTGAAGAATCTTTTCTCCTTTGACTTAAAGTAAATGAAAGTTAGTTGTTTGAAAACAAATATTGTTTACAGGTCTAGTATAATTTCATAAAATGTTCCTTTCTTCTTATAATATATGAAATAAATTTGCATAATTTTTACTTTTATTTATTTTCAGTATTATCAGGAGGTCCATTAAGTTCAGAATATAAATTAGCACAATTTCATCTACACTGGGGATCTGGTAATAATTGGGGTTCGGAGCACTTGATCAATGGTATAAGTTGTCCATCGGAATTACACTGTGTGTTTATCAATACTAAATATGGCGCAATGGAGACTGCTATGACATATTCCGATGGATTGTCCGTTTTAGGCGTATTTTTTCAAGTAAGTTAGCTCAGTGGTAAAATTTTCTCATTAAGTTATCTTGTTAAATGTAGTCTCTGTTTACCGATGCAACCACTTTGGATGCTTAGAAAGAGATTATTTCTTTACGTAAAGGTAAATACCACAGAGCTAATAAGAGCAGAATTATGAATTTGTGAGGAAGGCGTTCACAAATGTCAACATAATTTCTCTCAGTAGATTAACAGAAGTTGAACTGTTCATCTATTCCGAAGCTAACTTGTCTAAGTGAAAGATGACTATGTATTTACATACATATGAGCAAATGTCTAAACAGCCATTATTCAAGCCATATTTGTCCGTTTAAAAAAAATTTGTTCCTTAAAACACAGGATCAAGCAACCATTTAATAGCTGTTCAACTCACATTCTTTTTCTGAATAGATGGTTTTATGTATCATTGAAGTGGTTATATACTGTGACAAAACAGAAAACAACTCTTTGTCATATTTTACTCTCTAAATATTCATCATGTTTTATCACCGGGCTGAACAACTTAATTAACATTTCTATGAGATAATTAAGTTTGGTGACGTTGAATATTCATCAGTTGTCGGCGGACAAAGTATTACATCACATGTAGACCTCTATGATCGCAAATTTTAGAAAAAGGCATGTGGTAAATGAATTCTTGTTGAAGGCTTACTATGAGACCTTCAGTTGACTTAGTTAAGTTTCAGCTGTTCGAATGAGATTGAATTCCTTCCTACTAGTCTTAATATTGGTTGTAGGAATGCTAGGTCTCTGAATGTTCTCTTCTAGCTTCTTGTCAAAATCAACGTCTTGGTAGTAGGACTAGAAAAACATGTATTGTTTTCCTGATTTCTTTTCAGAAATTATTTTGCACTAACCAGTGAATACACCAACTGGTGGCAAATTTCTTATTGGTATTTGCACCTTAACAGAATTAGGAGGGTCACGTTAGAAATATTTTGCTTACAGGTGGAACCAAATATTTCAGCCAGAAGAACATATGTCGAAGTTGAAAGGTGTCAGTGGCGAAAGAGTCTGCTTTTACGTCATCCTTGACATAAACTTGAAATCACACAATGACAACATCCTGAGCCACTGCATAACTGGGACATACAAGAAACAATAACCCCTAGTCATTTGATCGTGGTGATTTGACAGCTACTCTCAAGTTATCAAAGTTCTAGAATGCAACTGGTCTGCTTGTTTTTCTCACAGGTGTTACATCACCCTCATCTGCATAACCTGATTAGTATGGCCTATGTGCATCTGTCTCTACATTCATACCTATTTGTTAAATTATTTCTACACGTGGTGTGTTCTCATATACCGGTGGTACACTCAATTAATAAAAATAGGATACCTTTTGCAAATGAAAAAGGTATAACCTCTAGCTGGAAGCAATTAGATTATGAGTAAACGATTACACCGTCAAACAGTGTGATCACTTGGAAATGTTAATACGTATTAAGGTTGTTATAAACCAAAGATAATATTCAGCAATTTCAGTGACTGTCACATATATAATTTGAGAGTAATTGAGATGAGTGTTTTTTGATATTATTACTGAATATTGTTTTTGATTTTCATATTGTCTAACTGATGTGAGTTAGAAACAATTAAGAGGTTATTGCCACTGTATAAGTGTATGTAGACCAGGTTTAAAGTCAGAAAGTTTTAATTCTATAGCAGATTCATTAGTGTGACTTTTAGCTGGTTGTCAAAAGGATTAGTTACATATGCAAGGTTAAAGATCTCTCAGCAAATTAATCAATTATCATTTATATTCGAAGGGTGACTTGTTCATCTAAATGATAAAATCTTCTAGCGTAATTTTACTAATAGGATTTAACTCGTGAGTCATCTGCAGTAGAAGTTTAAAGTCAGCGGTGTTGAGGTTACTTGTTGAGTTTATGTGATAAACCAGTAGGTTTATAACTTTTACAGTTGTTAACCGATACCTTCCCAATGATGTTTGATGAAATGGTTTGTTAGTTTCAAATTCAAGTTGAAACTTGATTATCTGAATTCTATTATACTGTTATTTTAACTGTACTATTTTTAGCTGGGTAAATCATCAAATAATGCATTAAAACGATTATGCGCTCTACTGAAGTCGACAAAGAAGGGGGAAAGTAAAGAAATTCAACCAATGCTTGATATAAATAGTCTTTTGCCGAGTAAGTAGTATTTTCAGTGGTCTGTATAAAACATGTAAAGACCTGCGCCATATTCTTTACATATATATATATATATATATATATATATATATATATATATATATATATATATATATATATATATATATATATATATATATATAATATATTCAGTGGATCCATCCCACTGTCGTTTTTCACCATTATTATTAACAATGTGAATGAATTGATCATCCACTAATTCGGTAATGACGTTCATGTGTTTTTACCCCCAGTAGATAAGTGATCTACAGTTACTTGTGCTAACATTCATGGACACGGTTTATTCAATATAAGAAGTGATAAATATATACGGATTAGTCGTTGATATAAATATGTGTGCATGATTCAGACCGTTAACCAATCTTAATACTTGATATTATTTAAAGTTAGTAAATACCTGTTCATCACTGCCAACTGACAAGTTTCACTAATATTTTTATTTAACGTTTGACAAAACAAAGAACTTAGTTGACTGACTTAAGGTGGTTTAGAAATTCCTATTATCTAATCAAATAAGAATCATCTAACCAAGAGTCATTACCTTTATCGATACTGATTCTGTCTGTCATAGCTCTTACAACAATTCCGGTTTGACAGGTTTAAATTCATCTCATCCGTCATCATTTCATTGATCGGATGAAACGTCAGTTACGTTTATTTGCAGTCAGCCACTGGAATAGTATTCTACTGTGACAAACATTCTTATTAGTGTAATTTAATTTATTGTATTTTACATTAAACCGTACCCTGATAGACTGGTGTTCGACTTTATTTAAATATACCCAGATAGAATTCCAGGTGTGCTGTTTCTAAGGTATATGGACTGCTACATTTGCTTATATACGTGTATCTATTGGCTTGCTTAAATCGAAACTGAAGTAACGAAATTAATCAGTGGCATCAAACAATTTATTTTTACGATTACATGCCAGGCGTTAGTTGATAAGGACAGGAAAATATTTCTTACTTATGATTCTGAACAAGTATTTGTGTAGAATATATTTCTATAAATGAATTGGACACACGGATGTATTGCTTCCTCATCATTTCTTTATAAAAAGGATCCTTCATCAGCAGTTGATGAACCATTTTATGGCTAATGAATGAATAACAAAATGCCAAAGAAAGCGGAGCGAATCGCTGTCCAGCAATATCATTTCTCAAAACTTTATTCATGTGATTGGCAGAAACTAATTAGAACCTAGATAGATAAGTGTATTGAATTCGAAGAATATATTATGAAGTAGAAACAGTAATGTATAAAGGTTTGAATAAAGGCTTGGAATTTAGAAAACATATAGCAAAGGGTAAGTAGTATAGGAATTATATGATTAACTAAATAGTGGAAAGCACCACTTAAAAGTGCAACATCTGAAACAACAAGATATAAGTCTCAGAAATGTGTCTAACATTTGTATACATAACTTGAGGTTAAAGATTATCACCTGTAGCTCATGATTTCTCCTCATATGGATTATGCAAGCCTAGATAGTTTTAATTAATAGTGAAATATTTTGGAAATTACTCTGAAGAAGCAGCTCGGTTTTCATTTCATTATTTCTCATAAAATATTTTGTTATATCTTACAATTCTTGTCCTCATTCTCCCCGCCTCCCTTAAAGTAATATTTATATTGCACTATATTTTTGGAGCATATCCTCATATCTCATAAATAATCTCAGAAAACAACAAAATTCTGCTAACTGTTATATTTTCATTCCATCGTACTGTATCAGAGTTTGGTCAGCAGACAGCTACTTATGTCTTCTTCACAATAGTCATAAATAAGTATCACCAGCTAAGTTTTATGCATATTCATATGCGTAAAAATAAGATACGGTAGAAAACCAAGTGATTTAAGCTCTGCCTAATAAGTCTACTTATTATTTATGCGTAATAAGAGAAAGAGTAAACTTACTGATAAAAAAATTTGAAGGCCCACAACGAAAAATATTCTTTTCAATGAATTCTCATAAGGTTTTATGATCATAAAACGGAACTGTTCAGCATAATAACAGATCATGTTAGCAACAAATGGACTTAATGCAGATAAGAGATTGTCAGTATATCGATTTTGAAGCCTACAGGTTTGTGGAGATTTATTTATTGATTTCAAGTTGGTACTCATCACCGACTGACATCAGTTGAAGGAAAACAGGAAACCTGTGAACACTGAACAGCTGTTTCTTCTTAGTGTGTGACTCCTCAGCATTGGATCCGTGGTGAACCAGCAACTTCCCACAAACCTCCAAATTGAATTACCATCTAGTGTGAGTTAGTGCATTGCTTCAAGGTGAGATTTCTGAAGTTCTAATGCGAAGTCTCAACCTGTAGAGGGTAACCAAGTGGCAGTTGAGGATAGCTAGTCAACGACGGGATTGGATGGAGATCATACTACATCGTGAACTGACAGAACAGGAAATATGAACCATTGGATTCTGACCCAGAGGCCAAACGATAACGTGGTGGTCACGGAAGCCGAAAATCATGGGCATGATTCCAGATGGGGTCAGGGTGCGCACTGCTAAGCAGTGCAGTACTAAAACGAAACAGCTGTTCAGTGTTCTCAGGTTTTCAGTGGTTCTCCAACTATTGTCAGCCAGTGATGAGTATCAACCTGATATCAATTTTCTCTCTCTAAATTCATTGATGCTAAAATAACTTATAGAAGGTTAAAGGAAGTAGTAACACCTGAATCTGCTCCTTCCCAATGTAGAATTCAGATTTTGTATATCACATCACTACAGTGATATGTGGTTTTAATCATTGGTAGGAGATTTTATTCATAAACTCATTCAAAACAAAAATTTACTAAAATATTATCACTCATCAGTACAGGGTAACTTCAACTTTTTTGATGCTAGACTACTGGGTTCGATTCTACTTGCCAGTATCTTCCAGTGCAATATACACGCCTGTTTAATTTTTGAGTTTGATCTGAAATAATGGGAAAAGTTGCCATCTGACTGTAGCATAATGAAGCAACATAAAACATATCGAAACCTGGAGGAAAGATAAAAAAAGACAATGTTGCTGAGAAGCCTATATATCTTAGACTATGTTTCAAATGGTGATGCGGCCGCGGATATTTTAACACATCAATTAAATAGAGCAGTCGAAAGAACGTTCAGTGCAGCGAAACGTTTTATCTTCTCAACCAAACCATTACCGACACACCGAACCGGGGATAGGTTACCTATGGCGGCCACTTCAATGTGCATTTATGAGTTCAACTGTTCCTGGGGAGCTAGTTACATGGGCCGTGCTCAAAGGGCTTAATCCATGCATGTTCGTGAACACGTGTCATCTTGGTTAGGGAAAGGAATGACAAAGAGCATCAACAATGCAATCCTGTCACATCTAGTAGATACCAGACATCAAGTTAAAGTAGATCACGCCTTTTCTGTGATATATCGTGTCTTTTGCAATCTCCCTAAAGATGTATGACTTCGTATCTTATTCATAGCCGAATCCATAGGGATCAATGCAAGAAAACCGGACCTATGCGTTCAAAAGAAATATGTACACCTACTTCGTTCACTTTGTCCCACAACAGGGTCGACACATTCTCTATGAACTTTCCTATCACAAATTACACATTTTAACCTCCCATTCCTCTCTTTTATATTGTGAATACTTTGATGAACATTCATTTCCTTGTGTCATTAGTTTTAAACCCTTTTTTATTCATACCAAAACCTGTAGTCATCTTCAAACGTGGCGTAATACTTCACATTTGTTATCCTTTATTTCGTTATAGTATTCACATGATTTTTATCCCACCTGAATATAACTCATCACTAAGTGATTATTACTTGACCCTTAGTAAACAAACACACACACGCATACACATAAATTCATATCACAATAAAAGTATATAAATAAGGAGTCCACACTAGGATGAAACAGCTGTCCAGTGCTCCCAGAGCTTCAATAGTTCCACAACTGATGTCAGTCCATGATGAACACTACCTTTAAATATAAATTAATCATCATCCGTAGATTTTGTCTCCTCATTTCGTAATTGTTCTGTCATTATTGATTTCATTGCACAACTAACACACTAAACTGGTAACAGTTCCACCATTCCATTCGATTTGATCTCCATTCACCCATAACACTAACTGTCTCAATATAGCGAAATTGTACATCATGCCTTACTTTGGCTATTGTAGTTCACTTATTCTCTTGGATTTATAACTGTAGAGCCTGAAAAAGAAGTTATCGAAAACAATTGTTTACCTAAATTATTTTTGTTCTGAATAATCTATGGGATCTTTATATAAATAAAACAAACTTGTTTGAATCTGACGGTAGACAGAAGAGCAGCAAACAATAATTCACGTAAAACAGAGACTAAAACGGAGATTAATACTTGTATCTCAGTTAGTAGAGGAATAGTCTGGTGATCTAAAGGCTGTTGGTTTCAAGTTGAGTGTGTAAAAAATACCTGTTTGCCTTCGTTAGTGGTACATACAGAAAAAACAATGCTTAACGGCTATAAAATAGGCATTCTGTTTTACAGCTGCGGGAATATACTGTCATAGTGAATGTCGTACGGATGCTTCGTTAATGACATCAAATAGAACAAATTAATATTCTTTTACAACTTCAATAAACCATTCACTTAGCATGTGTGGTGACTGATATGAAAGGGAAATGAAAGAATATGAGAAGGCAGAATTGCTTACCCCATAACTTAATGCATAAATGTGATTTTCATTTTAATAGAAAGTCTCAATTAACTTAAAAAACGCCAAAATACCTTCATTACAAGTGTAAGCAGTTCAATTAATCCAAGCAAGGATTAATATATATTACCAATAAATTCTAACTATTGGAGAAAAAGCTGCATCTTATTCTACCATAAGTAGTTAACTTAAATGAAGAACAACACAGTTAAACAATTTTTTTAAAAATAGAGTCGCATAATACTAATAGTACTTCGTCTTTTACTATGTCATAGCAAAAAATATGGT